GAAATGAGAATTTCTCACACACACACAACTATGCTTTTCCACTGAGCTAAACCCCGTTGGCAGCCTTAGCTCATTCTTAGATCAAAAAGGAGGAGAAAAAGAGGGGGTCGATGGAGAAGCTTGAATAAAATTGCTTGGACAAAGTGCAAAAAGGAACTTGAGGGGCAAAGCACGAAAGAAAATATTTTCTTCTTTTTTTTCTTTTTTTTCTTTTTTTTTTCTTTAAACTAAATAACGACCTGAAAATAACAGATGATATGAAAGTTTGTTCAGGCCTATAAACTAAAGTTCACATGCCAGATAATTACACTCGATCCTACAACTTATTCATTCCATACACTCTTTGTGTTCAGTACATTTGCATACTCGCTACAAACCAACCACGGAATGCAGGTGCAGGGGCTCTCTCTTGGTTGTGAAAACTTCACTCCTGCAGCAGCCTAATGGAAACTTCATAAACCGTCATCAAGAATGGTGGACAACAACATCCCCTGAACAAACGCACATCTTTTTGTCTTCTCTTCCTTATCTTTGATCGACAAAGGAGGTGACGGCACATTTCTGTGACAAAAGAACGTGTTAGACCTAGGATATTCAAGCATACAAAGGGGAAAAAGTTTAATAAAAACAACTAAGCCCAGGTTCCATATGCAACAGAATGGAGGAATTGCTGCTCTTGGTAGAAATTTGACACTATATTGTATTTGCAATTGTGTGAGGTTTTATGATTTTTTCAGACATGTAAGTTATGCATGATATAGTTTTCTTAAAAGAAAAATGCATAGTTTAGCATAAAGCCACAAACATATGAACAGAACCAGAGTTTGTGTACATTACCCCTTACAAGAATGCATTATTTTTCTTTTTTTTCTTTTTCTGTGCATGCCTACATAGTGTATGTGAACCACAACCCTTCTCTAAACATAGTATACATATAAGGAGTATTAGCTAGAAATCATAATTGTTTAGGGCATCTAGCTTGAGCATGAGGTTAGAAAGCCATAATTAGAGCAAGCTGGGGAGATAGGTTTTAGATGTCCATCAAAAGCAGTTGAAGATTTAATAACGTACCGTTCTGACAATCTCTCATCTATGCTTTTCTTGGCTGAGCTCGTTTCAGTTGAGAAGTGAGGCTGAACACTGACGAAATCATCCGCCATAGGCAAAATGAATGATGACAACAATGGATCAGGCGCTGCATTGGATGAGGAAAGTATACAGGAAGATCCCCCGAAAAGAGATTGCAAATTGCCTTCCCGCAGCTCTTTCCTCAACAAAGATAGAGTTGAATGAGCTCCACCATTTCGGGTCTTCCTCTTGCGCTGCATGTAATTACTAGTTAAGGAATTCAATCATTGGGTGAAATCTTCAATCTGATCAATCTTATATACAAAACATAATAAATCTCAGAACTATGATGAAAACCAAGAAGAAAACTGCTTAATATGACTTTAAGTCAGAAATGTTCAAAGAAGAGAAAACAAAGTGTAATTTGAGCAGTCATCATCAAGGCTACTTAACTGACCCTAATATGAGATTTACATGTTTGAGGTCTCCAACTAGATTTTGTGGAAGGTGCTCACAAACAGGGTGAGATAAACATGGAACGCTAAGAACAGAATTAAGAATTATGTGGATAATGGAGTTTGCTCTCGTGCAAGAAATGATAATTTACTATAACAATTAAGGACTCAAACCATGTCATTTAGCATATTTTTCACTCCATAAAAAGGTTATTTTGAAAGGGATGGCATACTCAAAAATTTGCATTGAATGACAAAGTTGACTATGACAGAATAAGATAACACATAAGATCTGCAACACATAGCAACTCAAAAGAAAAGGATATTTTGAATATGCTTCCATGCTGTAGCGTAATGTGCGCAACCATATCAACTCCCACCCTCATTGCACAAACTGGGCACACCTGCAGATAAACAGTGGCACCATGAGTAAAATTAAGCTCAAACAAGACCCATCCTCATTGAAATAAGATAAGATGTAACATCTAACAAATAATATATCTTAGCAAGGTCACATAACTTGACGAAGCTAGCTACATAATTCCCACCAGATCACTACCTTATATTTCAAAAAGAGAGAACTGAAACCATACAAAATTTTTAAGGCTAAAATGCTAACTGTTTAAGAATCTGGGATCAACAAGATGTACCCCTTGATATTAAGAACCTGACTGGTTTTCAAATCAAGGATTTTGTGAAATAGAGTTAAGCAAAGGTTGTATTGACTTTTTTCTCTACTAAAATGATGCTTGGAGATGATATACTTCTTTATAAAACAAAGCATTTTCTAGACCTCTAAGAAAAGATAAACTTAAGCATCGAGGCTTTACGATTTCAATCTATATGCACCAAACAATTAGAATTTATTCGCTTTAAGGTTGAAAGTTAGAGAAATTAGCTATTGATGGATACGGAAGAGAATTCATACCCCATTCTTGGCCTCCACTGGGTGTTCTTCATCGATGTGGCAGCACAATCCTACAATATCAAAATACTCGGAGCAGAACGGGCATGGAAATTCCTCCCTTATATCATCATCTCCATCAAATTCTTCAAACCCCATGAACATATCTGCAGTTACATAATGCCATGTTTCAATAAGTGCAAATCCATAAACATTGTAAAGCTGATTGACTGGGTCTCAGCATCGAAAAACCCAATTAATATGTCAACAAAAAAAACCTCATCAAAGAAATAACACCACAATTATGATACTTCATTCCTTAAAAAAAAAAACATTTGACACAGTAAAACACTGAAGAACAACAGGATTTGAAGCCAAGTAGTTGGATTGAGCTCAGGTTATCATCTCTATTTTATTTTCGTGGGTCATAAAAAACTGATAAATGGAAATATTCAAGCTTTTTATTCTTATCAAAGAAAAAGAATCAAGCTTCTCATTTCTCTCCTTTACCTTCATATAAATTCTACATATTAATGCAAAAAATATGTAGGATGAAAATATACAAACAAACAGCAGCATTAGCCTAGGCGAGCTCCCTTATATCCTAAACTTTAAGCAACACAAAGAAAAATATATAAATTCAGATTAAAAAAAGCTTTTTTACATAACATTTCATTACCCACCAAACAAGGCATTAAACCAAAAGCAACAAGAAAGAAAAGAAAATAGAAATGGAAACAAATGAATGAGCTAACCAGATCGAGATTGAAGAGCGTTTTGATAACGCCTAGAGGCAGTGGAAAGACGAGCGCTCCAGGAATCACCGTCCATAGCTACCCTTTATGAAATTTAAGGAAAAGGAAGAGACTTTGGGATGCGATCCACCTTGGCTCTGATCTCTCAGATTTAGAACCCTAGAAATGAACAATTGGGAATGAGACAGAAACAGAGACAGAGGCAGATAGAGATTGATATGGAAGAAAGGAAACGGCTTTGGGGTTGAGCTTGAGGAATTGAGGCTGATGATGATTGACGAAGGTGGTGGCGGTGATTCTGGCGGAAGACGAAGATAAAGAGGAAGAGGAAGAGGAAGGAGCTATTTAATCTCTACCAGTTTATTTATCTATCTATATCTATCTATTATGGAATACGTATACGCTGTATATTTCTGTAATTTTAGTTTTTTATTTGTTGGAGGAAAAATTGGAATTTATTGGAGGCAGAAGAATTTTGCGGTGAATATGACAAATGGCCAATAAAATAAGAGAACAGTGACGGAGAGAGAATGGAGAGAGAGAGATTGATAGAGAGGGCTCTCTCGGTCCTTTCTCAGCGGCTGGCACACACCGTTTTACAGCTGGAGGTTTCAATACCTCCATTTTCACTTCGGTAGTTTTCATGACGTGCCACGTGGCCTCATACCAGAACATAATAAACCAAAAGGGTTAACTACAAGTTTGCCCTCATAATTAAGAAAAGATAATATCGATAATAATGTTCCTTAAAAATAAGACATATTATCTGATTTTATTTTTAATTTTGTTTAATATGAAAAAAATGTGAATTTACCATATTATTTTCATTTAATTACTCTTCTCCAGAGGCAAATGGTTTTCTCTCATAGGCGATTGTAATTTGTTCTGATTTTCCTCCAACCATCATAGGCGATTACGTCTCAGCGTTGGATCTCTACCTGCGTTTTGACGTCGGATCTCTACCACCATCTTTTTTGAGGTTTATTTATGTTTGGAATAAGTCACAGAGACTATGTTCTCTATGAGTTTTCATCTCTCCTTTTGTGAGAGCTTTTCACCTCTCCTTTGTGAGAGCTTTTTATCTCTCCTTTGTGAGAGTTTTATTTGTATTGTTATGGCTTGGTTTTTTCAAGCTTTGTTTATTTTTGATTATTCTGAGTTTGCAATCTTAATTGGGATGTCTATGCTAGAGTTTATTCGATCATGCGTGATCGTTAGTGGGGGCGCACTAGATTGTCTTAATTTTGTTGTTCGACCGTTCCGTTATTGTAATCGCCCTTTGTGGCTAGTTTGTTTTGGCCCCTTGTGGCTAATGGCTTTTTTGGCTGAATTATGAATGCAATCTTAGAATTTCTCAACCAAAAAAATAATAATAATAACAAATGACATTTTCTGGTATTTTAAATATTTTATCATTCTCTGTCTTTTGCTTTATATATGTAGATGCTTTTACCAAATGTCTTTCTAGAAATGTTCATGTGTCAAGCAAGTGACCATTTTTGTCAAGTCTTTCACTATTGGTCTTTCCTTTCATGTTCAAAAGCTTAAGATCAACACAAACTTGAATTAATTAGTTAGAGCAGTGTGTTCGTACTCCTCACATCAAAGTTTAAATAATGTAAATTAGAGTAATTTGAACTATCGCTTGTATTTTAAAATAATAATAATAACAGAAGGATCAACTTGGGATGAAAAAGAAGTTTGAGAACCGAACTGTAAAAGTTTAGGAGAGAAATTTGTAATTAAATCCTAACAAAAATTGGAAAAACAAAATAACAAAAAAAACTAGTTAACTACTCAGGCCCAAGACCAGGCCCAAGGCCCAAAACCCAAGCTCGAACGCGAAGAAGACCCGCGGTCGTAATTGTAACACCGGAAACTGACGAAACCTTAAAAACAAAATTAAACAACGGCCTGAGCCTACCACCTCCTTTCTAAGTGTCTCACCAAGACCAATATATAAAGCCATTTCCAAATTCGCCGGGGCACGTGACTCGCCGTCCCGGATCTCCGATCACGTGACCTCCTCCCAACCCGAGAGAGGACTCGTTAATTTTTCTCTCTTCTTTGTTCACCTCATTTTCATGAGAAGGCGCGAACCCGACTTCTTTGTTTGTCCGTTGTTGGATCCGTAGATTTTGTGCGTCCGAGTCCGAATCTGAATCAAAACTCCCATGGCGACGAGGAACCGGACCTTGCTTTATAGGAAGTACAGGGATGCGTTGAAGACCGTCCGTGCTCCGACGAGCTCGTCCGCTTCGACGTCCACCAGCTCCGGCGGTGGTCCGGTCATTGAATTGGTCAGCACTTCGCTTCTGCATCCGAATCGGTCTTATGCTCCGCTCAGTACCGAGGATCCCGGTAATTCAAGGTCTCAATTTCTCCCTCTCTCTCTGTATGTAAATTGAATTGAATTTCTTTTTGTTTAATTTGAGATTTAATTAAAGTTAAGTTTGGGAAATCTGATTGGGAAGGGAAGTGTGTTTTACTTGGCTGGTTAGATGTTGAGTTTGGTTTACGAGAAGAAGATAGATAAAAAATAGTAAAGAAATGAAACCTTCAGATTGTGGAGAAAGCAAAAGCCTTGAACTGAACTGTGGTAATGCATGTTAGGTGACACTGAATTCTGACACATAGATAGGAAATTGAACACCGGATTATTAGATCAGAGCCATTAAGGCAATCGATGTTGGATGGATGATCAGTAGCTACTAGCTACAAATGCACAATTCAAAACTGGCTGGTAAGGATAGACTTATGATTGCTGGAGTTGATGTCCACGAAGATATGGTATAACCGTATATGGTTCCCTGAATGTGGGATTTTCATATTTGACTTACGTGAGTTCTCGAAATGTTTTGGTCCTCCTTTGATCCTTCTAATCTGTAAGGTCTATGGAAAGCCTTGTAGATTAGTTTTATTAAGTGTGAGATGTCAGGTGCTGCAAGAAATGGGGAATGAATTTTGTTTCATGAAGAACATTATCAAGTCTTCTTCTTACTAGTATGCACAGGAAAAAGCAATAAATAGCTGCAAGTATGGATGTTTCTTTATTTCTGAAGTATGACTGTCATGTGTTTTTATTGCTGCAGTAAGGGTGCACTTACTGTTGGTCTACCACCGGCATGGGTGGATCTATCTGAAGAAATAGCAGTAAATGTGCAGCGTGCAAGGGTAAAAATGGCTGAGCTGAACAAGGCTCATGCAAAGGCTTTAATGCCTTCATTTGGAGACGGTAAAGAAGATCAACGCTTGATTGAGGGTCTTACGCAAGAGATAACTAGTCTGATCAGGAAATCTGAGAAGAGACTACAGAGACTCTCTGCAGCTGGGCCTTCTGAAGATTCAAATGTTAGAAAAAATGTGCAGGTATGACTTAAAAGCCATTAGATATTTTTGTCAGTGTAGTGAGTCATAAGGTTTTCCTAACTTGGGTTTGTTCCAGAGTTTTACACTCAGCTTTATATATAAAACAACTTATCCCAAAGAACAGCGCTAATGTCTGCATGATTCTTTTGCAGCGATCTCTTGCCACTGACCTTCAGAACCTCTCCATGGAACTTCGGAAGAAACAGTCAACTTATTTGAAGCGTCTCAGGCAGCAAGCAGAGGTCTGAAAGAATTTTTACCTTTTAACGATTCAAGACAATGGATAGTTATGCTTCATAGCTTTGTTTTAATATTCTGTGGTTACTTTGGCTTTGATAATCTAATTCATGCATAATATTGCCATTTTCTTTTTGGAACTTGGAATTGTATTTTCATACATTCATTTTGTATACTGAGGAAAAGTGTGTGACATGCCTTGGTATTGAACACTAAGTTAACTTTTTTAGTTATATTATTTCTAACATTCCTTTTTTGTTTTGGGTGATATAGGGTCAGGATGGGGATGATTTAGAGATGAACCTAAATGGAAATAGATCCAGAATGGATGGTGACGATTTGGATGACATGGTAAGCTCTCTCCTCTTCATTATCATTTTTTCAAGATCTTGTCGATCATGACAAGTATGAGGACGCACAATTCCCTAGACCATGTATCTGTAGTGTTGTTCAATAGATCAAATGTTGAATACATTTTTTACCTTAGGTGAAAATAATATGATAATAATACACATATCCTGTCAGATGTTTAATGAGCGTCAGATGGCCAAGCTAAAGAAAAGCGAAGCGTTCACAGCAGAAAGGGAAAGGGAGATCCAACAGGCAAGTGAAGATATTTACACATGATCTTTGTTTTTACGCTGACCCAATCCTTCATCATACTTCTTTCAGGATTGACAAGTACTCTTTTCCCTTTCCAATAGGTTGTGGAATCTGTGAATGAGCTTGCTCAGATTATGAAGGATTTGTCAGTACTAGTGATAGACCAGGTTAGTACTTGTGTCATTTCAGTACTTGAATTTTCTCAGAATATCAGTCACTATCTAAACATCTTTCTTCAAACAGGGAACTATTGTTGATAGGATAGACTACAACATTCAGAACGTAGCAAGTACGGTTGAGGATGGCCTCAAGCAATTGCAAAAGGTCCCTTCATCATCCTCTTCTTACATCGATCATTGTACTTCATCTATAAGTTGTTTTTAGCTTCTGTCTCTGTGCTTGTTCTGATGGCATATTATGTTTAATGGATTGAGCTTACAGGCTGACAAAACGCAGAAACAAGGGGGAATGGTGATGTGTGCTACCGTACTCGTTATCATGTGCTTTATCATGCTGGTCCTCCTAATCCTCAAGGAGATATTCTTGTGATCTGAGAGCGAGAGGACAGTTGTTTCCAGATTTTGGTTACATTCTAATTGTCATAACCTTCCCTTCGGACTTCTACACGTGCAAAGATGCTCTCCCTAGCAGAAGATTAGAGGAGTTTTGGAGTGCCCTAGTTAGTTACATATACTACATTAAGTGACTATTTGTGAATTCCTCCATATTTTCTGGGTATTAGTAAAGACGGAGTGGGAAGGGGTAATGGTTCATTAGGGAATGAATGCCGCGGAATTTGTATAGAGCGTAAAATACATGTTGTTCCTTGGGGAAGGGTGTTTTTGCAAAGGGATCTATATTGATTCTTTCAATTTTCATTTGCCGGGATTTTGTGTTTTCATTCCCCACAACTCATATGTGTAAGATGAGGCTTCTCTCTATTTCATTGTTAGTTTGATCATTCAATAAAATAAATTACATCAATTTTATCCAACCTCCTGGATGTATGGCAGTGACGCATACGGGCATGTTACTATATGGCACACCTGAATAATACCATGCGATTGCAATCAGAAGCCTGCTTGCTAACCAAGTTGCAGGACTTCCAAATTTGAGCCCAACCTACAATCTAATGAATTGTGCTTAATCTACACCTTACAGAGATGAATTGTGCTTAATCTACACCTTACAGAGATGAGTGAGTGAAATCGTTGATTTAACGGCTATAAACTGCGTTCATATTGAATGCAAATTCATATTCTTTGAAAAATCCTACTTAATATTTGTTTGTGGTGATGAGCTTATAACCGAGGTGTGCCAATCCAACATCCTTGCAAAAATGATAACTGAAAAAAAACAAAAAAAAAAACAAAAGGTAGATTTTGTAGAACACTTGTTTAAGATATTGTGGAGAAATGTGTTTAGTTCGACTCAAACCTCAGTGAATCAAACTTCACATTTCTAGTTTCCGAGGTAAAGGAAACGAGCATCCTTCCATTTATACATAGGAGTACGAGAAAACATTAATCTAGGAATGGAAACTTTCCTTTCCCATTATGCTGCTTTTCACTCTGTTAGCTCAACATATTAACAACTTTTCTGTCCTCAAGGATGCTCAAAGCCGATAATAAAACTGCAGAAATAACTCTAAGACCCAAATACCCCTTTCTAAATTTCAGAGCCCCTAAACTATTACCACCTGAACATTGTTGTTCAGAACTTCAAAAGACTGTCTTAAGAGTTCAATCTTCTCAAAATCCCAACCAACACACGCATACATCAGATAATCTTTGTGATTGAATAAATATTGGACGGATGTTTATCTAAAAAGCAATGTATTACAGTTACAATGATCATATTTTTTTCTTTTCCAACCCCACCCTACCTAACAGTTGCCGTTACTGCCTTCAGAAGAATCCACAACTCGGACCTCAAGCTCTGCAAGAGGCATCCCATGCCACTGGATCATTTGATTATTGGTTACAATAATACATTTCAGTGCTGCTGAGAAGAAGCATGTCTATCTGGAACTCTTCTTCTTTGGAGTGCCAATTTCTGAGGCTGTGAAAGCATCTTCAACAAGGCTAGCAAGCGGGAGTTTCAGCATATAAGTCAACCTTTGAAAAACTGCTGCCAGCACCTTCACGTCTGACATGGCTCTGTGAGCTGAACCATCCAAGGGAATCCCAAGGTGCTCACGAAGGGCTTGCAATGATATGCTTCTTGAAGAAGGCTTTGTTCCTGTTCACAAAGTAATTTTAAAGCCTTAGATATCTCATCAACCACATTTTTACAGGGTGGAGCATGCACACACAAACAAACTGACCTTCAGACTTCATTGCTTCACGTCCCATAGGAAGGGTATCCTTAAATAGCCAATCCGAAGGAATATCTACACCACAACGCCGGAACGCATTACAAAGAAAGGGTACATCAAAAGTACGAGCATTGTGAGCAACAAACAACACACAGCCTCCTGGTTTTTGACGGCTTTTGACATACTTCAGTAAGATTGGTATTAGGTCCTCCATCCTACATGGTATTCACAACAGCCAAACCATAAGTAAAACTTTTGAAACTATTCACAAGCGTATATGTGTACATATCACATGCACAAACGTATGCTTCTCAAATTTATTAAGGAAAATTTTCACTAAAAAACTTGATGATGCTTTGTATATGACAAATAGTTCTATCTTAGTTTTTACTACATAGGAGGATGCTACAAACAAGGGCCTACATGGGTGGGTCCATAAGTGAGCCCAAGCCCATGAATGGCTGGGATTGAACCATCACCGCCATAGCACCTCTCTTTAAAGGAACTGCTACCTCCTGAGTCTAAATTAAAACAATAACTGATGTCCTTAGAGTAAAGAGTAAAGAGATGCAAGGGCTTATTCTTTAACCAAACCAAGGAAGCACTGTGCTTCCGTGCATGCATGGACAAACCAAGAAACTTCAGCGATCTTTTCTTCTGATTGTAGTAGCAAATGCAAATTTCACATTATATTTAACTTTAGGAAAACCATTTTAACCCAGCAGAAAAGAACGGGAGTGTTTCCAATTAAAAAGATCACTGGCATGTAACATATTTTCTGTAAAGAATTAGGCTTCATATAGACAAATTGTGAGCTGATTTCTGTACTAGAAGAAAATAATCTAGCAACTGAAAAAGCAGTCAGGGAAGATTACCTCGGAACATCAGGTCTGTTGACCATATTTGTTGTAATTCCATGAATGTGTGAATTTAGAACTCTGCGTTCAGGGTTTACCAATGTCTGGAAAGCACTGTTTTCACCCCCTTCAAGATCTTGAAGTGCAATCTCTATGATATGATCTCTCTCTCTGCTAAACCCAGTAGTCTCAGTATCAAAAGCAATAACTGTCACTAGGCTGGCTAAATCTTTATTCTGAGCAATCAATTGTCGAATGTCAACGTGTTGAATCTGTTGGTATTGACTTGTTTCAATTTTATTTAAATTCAGAGTAGCACTTGTTGAAACCGTTACATCCAAAATTTCTTGCCTAAGTTTTCTGGGATCACTGCACTGGCCACTTTTGTTTCTCCCTTGTGTGTTTGTAGTTACAGATCTTCTAGTCCATTTCCTACTGTTTCCTCCATCAAGCACATAAATTTTGGAATCATATAGCTTAGAGCTAGAATTGTATCCACAAGTCCTACTCAAATTGTGGAAACGTTCACTCCAAAAATGAGCGAAGTTATAAATTCTGCATCTGGGAACTTGCGAAAAAGAAGAGAAGCACGTTGAAACTGTTCTCATCTGAACTCAAAAATCATCAACAGCAGAAAGATTCACACTATAGAAAGCAAATGGATTTGACCTGAAAATTAAGACGGAAAAAAGTCTACAATGAAAAATAAGGACAACAACCAGTACCAATCATCTACTACCTCAATAACAAGAGCAACAATTAAAATAATACAATTCAAGCAAGGACAACTAGTTAGTAATCCACATTATACTATGGATCTTAAGACTATAGATGAAGAACAAGTTTAAACTGAGATTAATTATCAGACCTTGCATATTTTCTCAAATCATAAAAAGAAGTAAAGTAAGGATATAAAAAAGACAAGGATACGCATGCTTTCATTCACGGTGGTTCCAGGAATTTCATATTATCAAACATTTCATGAAGTCCAACCTATGCCCAGTTCTACCTCTAGCTACATTCTCCACACACGGACACAGGTCTAACACCAGAATTCCATTTTATTTGGAACCTGGAAAACCAATTTCACTTTTACGAACTAATTTGAACTATTTGGCAATTATCATGTAAATTTGCGCCTCAACTAAAATATGATCTTATTATTCAAATTTTCATAACTTTTGACGTGTATTATCATCAAATAGACGTTAAAGGAATATCCAAGAGCTGATTAACCTCCTATATGACAGTAAAGATACTCAAAACCCAATCAAAACATTCACGGGTAACACGTCAAAATCAATCTATGACAGATTGAAAGCGAGCAAAGGGGGAAAGGAAGGTCCTTTAAGCTCATACATAACAATTAGGATTGGAAGTAATCATATTTACAACAAAACGAAGGAACCCATGTTAGGGAATAATGGAAGCTCCTTGATTCCAATGTAAATTGCATACGAAATTTAGAAAACAATAAGTTTCACTGAAATTTGCAATCTTTCATAACAGCTCTAAACCAAAGCAATGAGGTAGAGAGATAGAGAGAGACTTGCCTGGAAATTATTTGAATTGATTAGCAGAAACGTCAAAGATGAAGTATTTATAGGTAGAGATGGTTAGAAAGAAATTGGAAATGAGTCGTGTGGAGTGCTATAAAGAAGTTTTGAAGGACAGAAGAAGCTCATAGTAACGTGGTAGAAATTGCGAATACGAATGGCCCTACTTGCGGATCGCGTGTTCGATCCGATTTTGGCTCCAATGTCTTTTTCTTTGAGAGGGCTGTGAGCCTGCCTTCCTTCAAACTGCACACTGCCCCAAACTTTTTTCCCACAAATTTTTATTATATATTTTACAAAATTATCTAAAAATACTAACTTGGGTTTTTTAAAAATAAAAAAAAAGGGTTGCGAGTGACTTTAACTCCAGTAATGATTTTATTTGTTTAGATTTTTTAGAGGAACGAAGTCAGAGATGGGTGGGGTGAATATTAATTTAAGGATTTTAAACTCAAATTATTAGAATAGAGTTGGTCATTTGAAAGTCAATTCAACACATTTGATTAAAGATGCAAATCCTTCTCCTGTCCAAATATACCATCCTTCAGGGTTCAAGTCAATAGTGGCATTTTAATACACAAGGGAGCATCATGTGGTATTATTCTTGCGTGTGATTGTATAGCAAGCAATATGAACCTAATCTGGTACAAGTAACCTATGCCAATTTGGCGTGAAGTTTGAAGAACCGCAGTTATTTTCTCTCTTTCTTTGCTTATATTTATGCTCAGATTAAGGGCAAGTCTGTCGAAAAAGCTGAGTAATTAAATTGACTCGAGCTAGAATGGGGCTCTGCATCTTTGGACAGAGAAAAGGTACCTGCCCATATATCAACTCTCAGACTTAAATAATGGGCCCGTAGGGGCCTGCCTGGTTTCTTGGCTTCTATTTACAGGCAGCCCTCAAACCATAGGCATTTGGAAAACCCTTTTGTTTTGCCCAACACGTCACCATTTTCAGTCTCTTGTTGACGGGAAGGTTAGAATGAGGGGTTATTATGAAGGATTATTGTGTGAGATCCTTAATAGTAGTTCGATTCTTGTAATCCCTCGTTATAGAAGCTCCTGCCTTATCAGGGCTCATTTGAGACTCTTTCTCACCCAAAATGTCACTATTTTTATAGGGCAATGATTTCTCCACTCCTATTTTATCCACTTACACTCCTTTTTTAGTTATAAAAAAAGAGTGTAAGTAGATAAAATATGAGAAAAAGGAGTGGGGAAATCACCACTCTTTTTATAAAGTTAATTACAAAAATTACAAGCACCTTCCTAATTATACAGGACTGATATAAATCAATATTTATAGGCAACTTTTTGAAGTACTTAAACGCAAATTGCAAAGAAAAACACATGGTCCAAAATCCCTCAAACATTGTATTTTGGTCAGACCAAAACATAAAAGATACAGATTACTCGTACTTCCATTAATATGTACAATATAATTAAAATAGTACCAAAATACAGGAATGTCATTGCCTCAAAACCATCACCCTCAACATCTTTGACCTTCATTTCATTTTCACTTCCCAAACTATCACTAAAAAAGCAACAACAACAAAACAAGGTAGACCCCCAAATAGCATTAGCCTTCCTAAGTTATAATTAGTAAAAGTGGCTACAAAGAGCATCATCACAAGTATATTGGTTTATTGGGGTTTTAATTTACTAGTATATACTCCTTCACATTTTGTCCCCTTCATGCAAAAACAGAGTCACATGACATAGCCAGCAAACACACAGCTGCTTGTTCCACCTCTCCCCACTCCCTCCACTGGCTCTGTTTCTCCCCCTCCCCCTCTGCCTGCGAGTCTTGCAAAAACACCTCCTCACCAAAACCCACAAACCTCACCTTAGGAGGCTCATTCAAATTTATGCCACCACCACCACTACCAAAAGTGCTTTTGGCTGTTGTGGCAGAAGCATTATTGTATGTGGCAGAAGCACCAATATTATATGTGGTTGTGATAGTACTGCTACTACCGCCACATGTTTTCTCTCTCCTCCTCTTTGGCGCTTTGCTCATCAAGCTCACAGTAGGAATTCCTCTCTTCCTGTGTCTGATCCCACATGCATTGCACAGTGACTGAAAAACCAAAACAGCAAAAGAAATTGATCGATGAAACAACTTCAGCAAAGGCAGATAGAGAACAAAAATATATGAACAAAGAACAGTACCGAAAGGAGAGAAACGCCATTCAGGAAAGAGAGACAAAAATAAAGAATTCCCAAAATCAACTAAAGGTTTGAGAAATAAAGAGTGCAATCATCAAATGAGCGCAGCACACAGGAAAACCAGAGCATCAGAAATCATACAGAGAAAGAACCGAGACATGGGGCCCAAAAGATCAAATCCAACACAAAGTAAGCCTCATTTTATAGGAAAAATGAACAGTAATGAAAGAGGGGGACCCAGTAAACAAAATCACAAACAGAATTCAAAAATCAATGTATTATAATGCAGATTGCTCAGCTTTGCCAATGCTAAATACAAAAAAAATCACCTGGGTGTTGCTCATTCAGTTGAAAAGCACAAATGCAGGAAAAGATGATGGAGAAATTCCCAAAAATCAAAACAAAAGGCTGCATGAAAAATTGTCTAGAAAACAAACAAGCATGTTAACAAATGGTGGGTGGTCGGGTCAGACCTTGGGCCCAGCTGGGCCACCTCTCCACAAGGGTGTCTCAGTGGTCATGCAGTCAGAGCAGCGCTTCTTGTTCCCATTCATAGCTTGAGGAAATGGTTCCTGTTTCCAAATTCAAGAAAGGCAACAGATTTTACTGAAAGTTCAAACAAAACCCAACAACTGGAAGGAAAAGTAGAATGCTCTTAAATCACTGTACTATCAAAAGCCACTACCTTTCTCCCCAAAACACTTTCTAAAGCCACAAATCTTCTCCCCCAATTCATCATACACCATAAACCAACCACAGTAGCTGAAATTTTCAAAAGAGAAAAGGAAGCGAGAGAGTGATATAGATTGGGTTAATTGGTTTTTCTCAGAGAAGCCAAATGAGATCATATATGTGAAAGCAGCAGAGAGAGAAAGGGACTGATCAAATTTGAAAAAATACTTAGATCAAAACCCAAAAACAGAGAGAGAAAATGCAATATACTATAACGAAGCAAAACCGACATGCAAAGCAGAGAGAAGAGGTGGGGGAAGAGAGAGAGAGAGAGAGAGAGCGACAGAGATAGAGAAGAGTGGTGCTCAGTCAGGTCAGGTAGTGTGGATATGAGCCATGAACCAAAAACCCTAGTGCTAGCCGCTAGGAGGCTAAGGGGTTTGTGTGAAATGACGAAAATGTCCATAAAATTTCACTTTTTTGCTGCAGTTGCATGCACCCGTCAAATTCCAGAGGCAGCCACGTGGCAATATGGGTCTTTGTTTTATCAGTCGCGGGGACTAAGGAAAAAGTGATACTCGCTACAGGATTTGATGTGAAGCTTGATTTGATGCTTGGGGAATAGTAGGAGGGGCATGCTTTGGTTTGTGGCTTCGAAAACCAAAAAGCTGTGTTTTCTTTTTTATTGCGAAAAGGAAAATGGTGGTTCTTAACATTCTTTTGGTATGTGCAGAATTTTGGGTCCCCAAAACATGAAAGTTTCTGAAAGTTTCTGCTGTTTTTGAACAAAACCAAAAAGACAAAAACAGCAAATGCACTGTTTGGTTTGGTGCCTTTGTTGTTAAGAGAATTGAGAAATAAAACAGAGGAAATTTTTAGAGTAGAAGGACGTGGAGAATCTTGAGCATGCAGCCAGCGAGTTCTTCTAGACAGTGGATGATGCCCTAAGCATGATGCAATCTTATCTGGTAATTAGAGATAATTGATGGCTTAATTATGCAGTGATTAACTGTTATGGTCAAAAAACAAAGAAAGATAGTTCAAGTCTCAAGAACGGGAATGTTGTGAAACATTTGGGTTGGGGACAATTTCAAAAGCTTCTATTGTTTGATCGGCTAATAACAGGAAGGAGAAAGAAAACAAAAAAGAAAGCTCTTTTTTAAAGACAATTCCTTCCTTTTGTCTCGCATGAAAGGGAAGACATAAAGCCGCCAAACACCCATCAACGAAAAGGGCCACATTATCATGTTAAGGCAACGCCAGAGTCACCCCCCACCATTCATTGTCGTTAATTTCTGAAGCATGCAATTTCCAACCGAAGTCACCAAATAGAAGAAAGTTCAAAAAATTTAAAGTTTTAGGTTTCTTAAATTTGCTTAAATTTTTATGTTTGTTCACTTGCATATATCTTCAAGGGCCGAAAAATTGATATAAAACGGGAATAACACTGTTTAGCTATCTCATGCCACTTACATACTATCACATGAAAAAATTATCACATGTGACATACTATACTTGACCAGAAATAGTAAAATAGTGTTATCCTCATTTTATCTAAGTGTTTCTTTTTGACGAGGTTTCAAACTATTGAAGTCGCAAAACTTTTCCATGAAAAGATGCGAGCCTTTCAAATCCAAGTCCTCTCTCTGTCTCTCTCCCTGTAGAAAGACTATCTTTCAACCTTCTAAGAAAAAGACACGACACAGCTAAGCTAACCAGCTATCCTCTTGCCAATAGGCTTGTTTGTCACCATTCACACTGTTTGCATCTTTCAACAACACAAGAAGAAGAAGAAGAAGAAGAAGAAGAAGAAGAATGGCCTAAAGCTGGCAAAGCTCTTTAGCATTTGTTTTGTGGGGCAATTTTTTGCATAATCAATTTGTGCAAGCAAGCAATAGATTTTATGAGTCTCATCTCATTATAAGATTCCATCTTCTTCCCACTTTCACACCTATAATGTAAGAGGGTCCACAACACATACGTGTCATCATCACACATCCACAAAGGATAAGGAGAGCCCATATCTTATAATCTCCCACCCAATCCAAAATGTACGAGGAAATAAAGAGTGGGAGACTACAAGACAAATGCGTTTTTATTCCTTCATTTTCATACATGACCATTTATAAATCCAAACAGAGAAAAGGACATAGCAAGAAAACGATGGCCCACCACATTTGTGTTTTTTGAAAAAAGAAACCAAAAAGAAGATAATATTTGCTGGCTGGAGCTATAATATGGGCCTGGGCTTCTGCCCTGTATCACTTCTAGGTCTAAAGTCTCTACAGCATTTCCTAATTTTACTGAACAGGCAGAGAGTGAATAAGCAAACACTCTTCCTCTTCAACATACAAAAGATTCAGACAACTTTTAATTATATATAACCAATAAAAAGGTATACCATTTGGCAATATATTTGACCCAACAACAAATCCGGAGCCCAGAAAGGGAAACGACTCAACAACACATAACATACAATCTCGACAGGAATAGAAATCCTTGCACTAGGTTGGAATGAAGGAAAATTATAATGCAAGTTTGGGAGTTCCAAAACACTTGTAAACAACTGTAGGACATATGACCGACCAATACCCACTTATATGACACAACTAAACAAATGGAAAACAAAATAACAAAAACCCTTAGCATCTTGCTTCATAGGATAGCCCGACTACTCTCCGAAAAACTAACTCCAGTTTTTTCTTTTTTCTTTCAATCTTTGTTGCAGATGGATGTCCATCATATAATCAACCCATGGGAGCCAGAACCAGTTTAAACCACAACTGTTGCAAACACCTGAGCCAGCCAGCCACCCAACAAAAAAACCCTACAAACAGGACCCGAACATATAAAGACGCCTGACCTGACCTGACCTGACCTGACCGGATTATTGCCTTGCCATACTCAAGGACTTCACTGTGTAATGAGGAAGAGTTCTGCAATTGATGGAATAATACATATTCAAAACGTCAAAACACCATCCACATCCAAACATGAAATTGTACAATTTGTGAAAACAGTGTATAACCTCTAGCTGAAGTTGAATCCGCCGGATGGGACAGTTGGCATGCCACTCCCTCCAAAGTTGAACCCAGTTTGAGAAGCATCGCCTGGTGGCATTGTTTCATCTTCATCCTCCACCCAATATGTCTCAAGAATCTTTACTGCTTTCTCATAAATCTCAGTGTTGTCATGACTCTGTAGATTCTCAATTTTCTCTAACCCTTCTGCATCATCAATCGCCTGAGCATAGAGATTTACACCTCCAGTAGTGCCCAAGTTCTTCTCAGCTTCTCCAACCTTCAATATGTTCTCCAGGCCTTCTAAGCAAACCGTAACAATTCTAGGATCGGGGCAGATAAGAAGATCACACAATGGCTTGATACACCCTTGATCTACTAGGATCCTGTACCCCAAAAAAAATAATTTAAATCCAATCAGCCAATGAGAAGTTTTACCATATTATATAGCAAAATTAACAATATCGTCTTCGTACTTTATCTGCTCATGAGAACCACCAGATGTAGCATTTGAGATTGCCCAAGCAGCCTCTTTCTTTATATCAAATTCAGCACCTTGAAGCAGACTAACAAGAGGAGCGATTATACCAGCATCAATTACAGCCTGTTAAATTCCAAACGAAATTGGTAACATTAATACCTCATATGCCAGACTTTACAGAAACTCTAAACCAAGTTTTAAGTTTCAAGATTTAAATGTCAACATATAAAGAAAGAGCGTATCTTTGCATTACCTTAATCTGATCCTTGTTTCCGGCTGTGATATTTGAAATAGTCCAGCAAGCTTCCTTCTTGATGCTCTTTTTATAATTATTAGTCAAAAGGGTCAGCAGGCAAGGAAGAGCTTGATGTTGGATGATAACCTAGGAAGAAACCAAATCTCATTAATTCCAAAAGCAGCAAAAGAAATAAGCCAATGGAAAAGGAAGGGAAATCTGTTTGTTATTCCAGTAAAACCTAAATTTATTATCCCAAACTACATTTTTCTATATTTCCTTTGTGTGCATGTGTTTACTTTAGTTCTATAATTAAGGGTACAACGTCTGCCAAGCAAAGATGTGGACCATGCTATATTGGATCAACCAAGGAGAAGGGATAATATGTTGGGTCATAAATCATCTAAAACAACACCTAAAAGGGAAAACAAAACATCCAAAATGCCAAAGAGCAAACAATACCTGAGTTTGCATATCATCTCCAGTAACAATATTTCCAACTGTGCGGAGGGCAGGAATGAGTACTGAAGGAGATGGATGACTGAAAAGATACATAGGAAGGTCAGAATTTATAGCACATACTAAGGGTTAAAAATACCAACAGGGAACCATGAACACTCACAGTAAAAGCTCAACAAGCCTGGGGCATACTCCAGATTCAATAACAGCTTGGATTTTGTCATTTGTACCATCAGAAAGATAAGACAGAGCCCAGCAGGCATCGGTCAATACTTCTTCATCGTTTGAATGAATCAAACGTGCAAGAGCTGGAAGGGCAGGCTTAACCTGAAAAGAAAAAGAAATGAAAAACCGCCATTAATGTATTGACACCATCTGAACTGACTTTGCATATATAAAATATGGGCTATGATGCTAAAGTATTACAACTACAGAGACTATTAAAGCCATTTAGCACCTAACTTCAGAATCTTTCAAGTCAAACATAGCAGAAAACCCCTAACCTGGTCAAATGGAGGCTGTGGTTTGCCCCTGCAAAAGTTTGAGAGTGTCCAAGTAGCGTTTCTCAGCATAGAGAGCTTTGCGTGCTCATTTAGCTGTGAAAGTAATGGAATCAAAGCCCCATTGCCGAGTACAAGATCACGGCATCTAGGGGAATCACCAGCAACATTTCCCAATGCCCAGACAGCCTGCAAGTTCAAGAGGAAAAGGGATGGAGTAAGTGACAGTGAACAACCAAAGTACATGAATAAATAAATTGCATGAGCAACAAAAAAAAAACCATATAACTTGAAGCAAACCCTTAATCTATCTTCCCAATGTTTACCTGCTCACGGACATCATCACTTGGAGAACTAAGCAGTTTCACAAATATTGGAACAGCTCCATGATCAATCACCACCTTAGTGTTCTCAGATGTCCCAGAAGCAATGTTTGTCAGAGCCCAAGCTGCCTCAAACTGCAAGAAATTGTGAGCAAAGAAAGTTTACACAGGCATATATAAGAAGGTATCTATATTGCAGGGAAGTCTCAGACCTGAAGTTGTGGAAAATCCTCCCTCATTAGAAACTCAACAAAGCGAGGAACGACACCCGATTGTATGACTTCCTCAATTGGAGGGCTACGTTCTAGTGCATGGA